GCTATCCAGGTTCCACTGTACTTATTACGAGGAAACCAAACGTCAAAATTATAAAACGAAGCCAGAGACGACTCCGAACAGATGTACATAATCATACTGCTGGTCAGTTTGTGTGTACATAAAATGTTATGATTGATAGATATGTTAAATAATTCGCTTAAGTCCACAGATAAACGAATGCAAGGTATAAGTATTACCCATAAAATTAATCTCGTGCAAGAAGTAAGAGGTGTTAGGTCGGCCACATACACGGAATGCCGTTTCGATATTCCGATTCGGGATTCCGTGAATGCATCACACACATACGTTTATTTCCGTTCGGAATAGCAAGGGTTAGTTGAGAGACGTTAGTGAGTCTAAATATTCTTCCAGCGAATAATGACGACGATTTTCTGATTGCGATTCCGTTGTTGCTGTATCATTCTTACTAGGTGCATCCCCTTATCACCCTAAGCTTGCAATATAGTCATTATTATGTAAAAAGATCTATTTATTCAAAGATATTTTTTAATTTTTTTTTATAGGATAAGGATGACAAACGAGCACACAGTCCACCTGATGGTAAGTGGTTGCTGCGGCCCATAGACTTCTACATCTATCCTCCATTACAAATCAAAATGTAGATGCGTTGTCACCCGTGAGGACTAAGATGGAATACCTCATTTCCAGTATAAAGGGCCTCCGGCCACCTGCACTCACCAAGCAAAACGCAGAGGTAAACCTCTACTTCACGCTGGTTTTCTGTGAGGTCGTGGTACCACCCCGGTTCGAGCCGGCCCATTCGTGCGACAGCAAAAGCTGCCGCGTGGCTCTACCACTGAAAATGTAAAAACATACATAAACACACCTACTCGCTTCGGTCGTGCGACGAACACTGAGCGCGTTCCGTACGGAATTTATGTACTCATACAAAATCTATGGAAGACTTGCGTTCAGAGCGGCTTTTTTCGGCTTTCGAATCGGAGAAAATTCCGTACGGAGAATTACCGTACGTGTGTGGCGGGTCATAGATTTTATATGGACTTCCTGCGTTCGGAATTCCGAATCGGAATATCGAAACGGAATTCCGTATGTATGTGGCCGGCCTTAGGATCGTGCTGAATGGAAGTCCTTAGTCTCTGCCTAATCGTCTTGGTGACAAGCATGAGGGTTTATTTTATATGTTTCGAGTGTTTAATGAGATTTAAAAACAATTCACTGGATATTTATTTCCTTATCCAGTTATGAGTGGTTGGTTCAATATATCTATAATATCGGGGGGTGGCTTCAGTAACCGCACTCGAACTATCGAAAATGCGTACGGCTCGTACGTAACAATAGTACGTGACGATGTAATGGCTGCGACTCCCGCAGCTATTACATCGTCACGTAGTATAACTTTAAAGCTTTTACAGTTTTATTAATCTTAGCGTACTTAAGCGTCATAAAAATGCATACTGATGTTAAATTATGATGATAAACAAAACAGGCTACTTTGTGTGTGCCGAATGACCGACTCGCATTTTCAGAAATATATAAATCCAAAAGTGTAGGAAAGGTCGATTTGAAACAATATAAAAGTTTAAAACTTAAACAACACACGTTGATGCCGATCAACTCCTGAGTTGTGATGATCCTAGTGAGAATACTTGGTCTAGTCATGAAATTATTGTATTGTCATCAGATCGTTTTAACGTGTTCGCAAAATTTCAGATTATTCAAAAATTTGGATGTGTATGAAAACTAAATTATAATATTCTAATACATTAACGTATTCATAGGTACATATATACATACGTACATACATACAGGGCAAGCCAATAAAAGCTTCATTTCAAAAAGATCCATTTCCTGATGTAAATGGCCGTGCAGCCGTTACGTAAAGGATACGTACGAATAAAGAAAGAAATCTGGGGATATTTTGGCGCCCGTGAGAGCTAAAATAATATGCCTCACAACCCATAATTGTACTATACTGGTTCTTTTACCCTAACCTGACATTGCACTGCTTGTCAGTAACACACGTCGCTGCAACTTATCGGCAGAAATATAGGTAGGAGAGAAATATTACATTGACTAATTTCTAGGCAGCAAAATAGCCCTACCATTTTGTAAATGGAGTAAAAACTACTTGAAAAGGCATTTAAGAACACGCGTTTCCATTTCGAACATTATCCTGGAGAACATCATAGACGTTTTTTAATAATTCAGTCATTTTTGTAATTTATTTTTTGCACAACCACGCCAGTTTGTATTTTTGTTTACAGGTTACTAGTGACGTTCTAAACAACACTCATTAAAATAGTCAATAAAACAGAAATCTCTCGGATGTCAACTAAGCATTCCAAGGTCTATATTATTGTACGATTAGCGACCCGCCCCGGCTTTGCCTGGATATTATATCAAAGGATAACCAAAGACCATTTATTTTACCACTTTTTCGTTTATCCAAAAAAAAGTTTTTCGGATAAAATATAACCTGAATCAGGAGTTCCCAAAACCTTTAAGGTAATGGAACACTCACCAAATCCCTTTTGTTTAATGGAACCCCACATCAAATGATTACATAGCATAGACAGTGCAATTGCAATATTATAATTCTCTCTAACTACCTACGTACCTACATAACAGTAATGGGTTCTTCTCATCACATATTTTGTTCTATTTCAAAATAATATTAGTACATAAGTGTGAAATTATTTAACAAGCAAAAATATATAATTACGCGGAATCCTGGTGACTTTTCCACGGAACCCTTAGGTTCCGAGGAACACACATCACAATCTCTCGCCTAGATCACTCCCACGGAGCAAAATACAAAGAGGAGATGATCTAAGCAACTGAGGTCCTGACGTCATCACAGTGGGCGTGGCTTTAGTTAGTATACTGTCAGCGTTCGTCCTGTGCGCTTATGTGTCGAAAATCACAAATCGGTGTATTTTCGTAGCATTAAGAAGAAAAGGATGAAGTATTGAGTTTTATCGTGTGTAATAACTACTCAGATAGACGCTCTGATGCTGTGGATGGCATCATATTTCATTTGTAATTAATTTTATACCTAATTTACCATAATAGTTCTAGAAAAATCTTTGTGTCGACTTACAAATGTAATTGAATATATTCGACATTAGATGCCGACACTGTGTCATGGGAACAAAAAATATAAATGTACGTAGAGCTCAGTATTGGTAAAATAATCATACGAAGGTGCTGAAATTTGTTTTGCATTCAGACCTAAAGAATTTTTAATCGCCAAATTATTACTTTTATAGTTTTTATAATCATTTTGTGAACAGGCCGCATCGAAATGGAATGATGCGAGTAGTTTTACTATTTATCGGTAGATGGAAAACAGTTAAGTTGGCGGGGCTTAACACCCCGTCACCCCGCAAATTGTCACGCTTTATTACATAGTGAAATCTAATTACAACACCTCCTCTTTGTAATTGCTCCGTGATCAATCCTCGCGTTGGTCTTATTTTTTCGTAAAGTTTTATTACGATTGGATGTCATTCCAAAGATTAGCTCGGACAGACATATAAAAATTTTAAAAATGATTAATCATATCTTAGTGACATGCAAATAGCCCCCGCAACCAATACAAGGCAGTTATTTCGATATTTCAGACACACATTTAAATTTTATTTATATACATATATAGATACTATTGTGTTATATTGTAAATGATAAGTAAGTTTCTTGTGTATTTTTATCTCGATATGATAAAAGTACAATTTTGATATTTATTAATGTATATTCAAACATATATAATATTAACTACAATCCAAAGGATAATTGTTTGTTTTATTTTATATTTTATAAGCATAGGCATAATCCGCAACAGCATTATATATTCATTCATGTAAAAATATATAGCTTATTTCTTCTTTCTTCTAACATACAATTACCACAGATCATCCTTTAAAATCTAACATTACTTTCAAATACTTTATGGACTCATCCAAATTTACTCGCATTAGTCGATAAAAATACATTCTGCCAAAATTTAAGACCAAAAATTCTCTCAGCACCGATTTCCTGATTTTATACACTTAAGTACTGAAATTCCTACCTCATGTTAATTCTAATGTTTTTATATAGAAACCATACATTTTAATCATAAATGAGATTGGTTACATTTAGATAACAAACAACCAATATGGTGTTTTATAAGGAAAATTAATTTAAAATGTAGTCAAAGTATTGCCTTGATTATTCATAATGAAAATAAATAAACTTGAAGTAGTCGCATGCGATGTGTAACATCTGACACCTCACCTTGGTAATAAGCAACATTAACATTATATCCTGAAAAAAAGTCATTTGTTTTTTGAATCAAAATTAAAAATACAAACTAAGCAGCGCCCGGAATTTACACCAAAATTTAAAAAAGCAAAATACTGAAACATTTATGTGAATAATTATTCATTATTACTCACTTGCATTTTTTATCCATGATCTGCACTTTTTTCAGGTACTTATTATCAACAATAAATACATTTATTAATATAGTTTACACATATAAATTAGTTTATATAACGTCGCACTTTACTACCACCGCGAGTGCTTTTGATTTTTTGGTGATTTTTGGTCAAATCAAATAGCGCGCGCTTCCTCGGCTTCCTGTTACACACTTCCGTCCCTTTTCACGAATCACTCCCACAGATTGCAGGAAAGCGAGAGGAAAAAAGTTACACATCAAAAAACACGACTTGTAAATTTATAGAGCAAGACAAAAACAGGTGTAAAACATGATAGATTATACTAATTAAAACATAAATAACATATTGCTTAGAACGTGATTTGCTATTAAACCTATTATACTTCACATGCATTATTATTATAATTAAATATATCTGTTTAATGGTGTATTTGCATGAATCACTTCATTTATGACAAATTTTACAAGTCATTACTTATATTACAATAGTAGTTTGGGGAACAATGTCACACGTTTTAGAAAGTAGTGCAGTGGTTAAAACAATTATTTATCTTCGATACATGTTTATATTATGACACTATCATGTTGGATCGAGCGTTGAGCTCAATGTCTTTAGCTGCTCTAGTCCCGCTAGGAGCTCTCTGAAAAGTAAAAACATTACACTTAGAGTAACGTTATTTATATAATAAATGAAAGGTATGTCTCTGATGCTTATTCTTTTTAATCCCCGACAAAAACAGAGGGGTGTTACATGTTTGTAGTGTGTATCTGTATATGTACATTCTGTATATTTAAGCCAATCTGTGTATCTGTGTGTCTGTGTCTATGTATATGCGTATCTTTGTGTCTGTGTATATGTGTGTCTGTGTACATGTGTCTGTGTATATGTGTATCTGTGTTTGTATCTGTGTGTGTGCGTCTGTGTATCTGCGTATATGTGTGTCTGTGTATATGTGTATCTGTGTCTGTGCGTCTGTGTATCTGTGTTTGTGCGTCTGTGTATCTGAGTCTGTGCGTCTGTGTATCTGTGTCTGTGCGTCCGTGTATCTGTGTCTGTGCGTCTGTGTATCTGTGTCTGTGTATGAAGGAATGAAGATGATTACCTGAGCGAAGTTTCGGCGACGCGCGAAGCGTGCCGCAAGTCGGAAGCAGCGCCGGCCTGCGTGCTTCGCAGCGAACGCACTTCCTCTTGCGAAGCGCGCAACTGCTCCTGGAAAATAATGACAAGTATTTGTAGTACTATTTTTCTTTCACTTTTATCCATATAAAAGGGACGGAAGGGGTCAATAAAGTGGCAAACAAGCAATATGTTGCATAGTAAATAAAACTTACAGCCTATATTACCACAGCTGGTAACACAACCCCCATCATTTTTCAGACTACCGGGGGCAGGGAAGCATTGCGCTTCTCCAATGAGGACTAATAATTTACCGCTAACCATATGTCGCTAGTTGCGACTGAGGGGATGTTATTTGTTACACAGTGTCACCTTAAGGGGAAAGTTGCGTTTCAAGTAAGTTTTTCCGTTTTTGACGTTGAAATCTATATTATATACCTATGCCTCAGTGGTTGATCTTTAGTTTTTTTTTTCACATTTTTAACTCTTTTTTTTTAATTCTTTTGCTTTTAGAAATATAGGGAAAAACATTAATCTTTATATAATTTCCGAACAATTTAACTTCCCCTCCATGATCTGTCAGATATTTCATTCAGAAGAGGCGCCGCTTTGGTGACAGAAAATGTTGTAGATAGACATGCTAACACGCAAAAGGATGGCATGTCTTTGGAATATTTTTTTAATTTCTCAGTGATGCAGGTTTTTAAGTTTTCAAACAAACAATTTTATTGGTGCCCGGCGAGGATCGCACACGGGTTGCGCGCGTACTGTGAAATTTATGACGAGCGCTGAGCCCTTGAGATATCATGGTTTTTATATATGTTGCATTCCATTACAGACTATGAAAGTCCACTGCTGAACATAGGCCTACCTCGTATGGGGGATTTTGCCATAATTTGCCACAATTGGTTTGCAACCGCAGTTTTTTATTATTTTGAATTGTTATCAGGAAAATGCTGCTGCCCATCTCCTGTTTCAGTTTCCCTCTGTCGCCTCTTACGACAACTACAGGACGATATAGGGTAATCGATATTCTTACATCGACACTACACTATTTTTTACGTGGTATAGTTTAGTTGTATAGTTTAGCACGAATGGGTCGGCTCGACTGGGGAAGGACCACGCTCTCACAGAATACCAGCGTAAAATAGCAGCTTAACGCTGCTGTGTTTCGAATGGTGAGTGTAGAGAACTGGACACCCTTTTTACTGGAAATGAGACATTCCATCTTAGTCCTCACGGGTGACAACACATATGCATTTTGATTTGTAATAGAGAATAGATGTAGATGTCTGTGGGCCGCAGCAACCACTTACCATCAGGTGGACTGTGTGCTCGTTTGTCACCCTTATCTTATATAAAAAAACAATTTCTTATACGTTGTATTAGATGAATAAATTGTTGGGTTGTTGGAATCTTTTTCCGTGATCTTTTCATACGTCGTAGAGCCATACTGCAGGTATATTCAAGTCGACCGGGGACCCCACACTCTCACTGAATACCAACATATAATAGCAGCTGAATGCTGCTATGTTTCGTATGGTGAGTGCAAAGACCGGTAATCCTTTTTACTGGAGATGAGGCATTCCATCTTGTTTCCAGTGAAAATTATTCTTAATCTATAATGGTTGTCGATGTCTATAGGCCACAACATCCACTTACTATCAGATAGACTGTGCTCGTTTGTCACCCTTGTTCTATAAAAAAAATCTTGTGTCAAATGAAATAATAATAATAATAATATAAATCGATTTTTGACAAGAAAAAGCAGTGAGAGACTGATGCCCAAACTAAGCGACGAAATGTATTTCAAGTCATCAGGTCTCCCTCCCAGTTGACAAATACAAAAGTATGTAATCTTAGAATATATATTTTAATAACCATGATACGTTATAATTCATTTACTTGTGGTAAGTATTATTACGAGTAAATATTTAATAAATTTAATTTGATGGATGTTTGTGTGTGTGTGTGTGTGTGTGTGCGTGTGTGTGTGGGTGTGTGTGTGTGTGTGTGTGTGTGTGTGTGCGTGTGTTTGCGTGTGTGTGTGAATGCGAAAATTACAACATTTACACAAGTGTTGCAAAGAGATCTTCTGTATATTTATAGTCCCTTTTCATTAAGCATTCATGGACACATTATTTTGCTTTTATTTTAGGTAGGGCGTGGATATTAAGTTCCTTGTTAACTTTATTATACAGGTATCCGCCAAGATAGCAAAAAAAATCTCCTAGAAAAGTAGGTACAATGGTCATAATGAGAGGTACATACCCGGTCTTTGCGTCTCGTGTGCTGTGAATTTTTTAGATCATATTTTAATTGAGCATGTTTTTAGTACCGTGTATATAATAAACAATTGCCGGACTGTAAGAACTTTGGAAATTTTATAAAGTTGATTGGTTGGAAATTTAAAGGGAAGAGAGTTACTTACTTTTAAGATTAACCTTTGCGATCTTTCAAGTGGGAGAAGCGATGATTTGGTAGCTCCACCCCAGCACGTAATACAATATATTATTAAAGATTGGCATAGAGCAAAATAGACAGATTTAATAGTGTTAGAATCTGCTACGCATCGGAGTTTTTTAAATATATATGTTAATTTCCGTATCCTATTTCAAAGTGTATGTATATGCTCATAGAAAGTTAGCTTATCATCCAACAAAATACTATTAATTTTAATACGTATTTAATTGAATTTACTTTTTGCAGAGGTGTGCATGAACATGTTAGGCGATTCGGAAAATTGCAAGAATGAACAGTAATAACATGGTCTGTGCAGGTTGCATATTTATTATTATATTTAGAGAAGGACAAGTATTTTGTTTTTTCCACTTTAGGGGTTAACACATTATCGCGAAGCCATTTGGACACTCTATTTAAGCCAATCTGAGCGAAGTTAAACACATCTGGCTATGAATCACTAGTAAATAGTAGGGCTGTGTCATCTGCAAAAGCTACTATTTTTCCGTTCACTAGTTTGAGTTTGCAGAGGTCATTAATGTAAAGAAAAAACAGGGTAGGGCCAAGAATACTTCCCTGAGGAACACCATAGCAGATGGGGAGCTCATCACTAACGTGTTTATCAATTTTTACGGACTGTGTTCTATCTGTAAGGTAATCTTTGAAAAGCTGCAACGGTACACCCCTTATACCAAGCTTCTCCATTTTATGCAACAATATGGGAACAGAGACCGTGTCAAAGGCTTTGGCTAAATCTAAAAAAAATCCTATTGTTTTCTTTTTTTTCTCCAGGCTTAGTACAATAAATTCAATTAGTTCATGAACGGCATCCGCTGTTGATTTACCAGAACGAAAACCAAATTGATTTGGAGAAAGTATGGAGTTCTTTTCAAGAAAAATTTTCAACCTATTATTTATCAGGCGTTCTAGTATTTTAGATAATGATGGTAATATAGATATTGGTCTATAGTTGCTTACACAGTCTGTCCCCATTTTTGTAAACAGGATGAATGAGGGATTTTTTAAAAGCTATTAGGAATATACCATAAGTGAGGGCCAGGTTACATACGTGGGTAAGAGGAGGTACAATAAATGTTTTATTTTGTTTTAGGAATTCACCCGATATATTATCCCAGCCAACTGCACAGTCACTTCTAAGTATATTTATTACAGATGCAATTTCAGCTTCATCAGTAGGCAAAAGAACCATGGAATGGACTAAGCTATTATTAGTAGGAGAAAGATTCAATTCAGAGTTCTCAAGAATTTTTTCGGCCAGTTGTCTACCAATATTAGCGAAATACGTGTTAACATTATTAACTGATTCTTTTGGTGTGGTACATACTGATAATAGTTGAGTGGAAGATGCTTTTGCGGCATTTCTGTTGGTTATTCTATTTATTACCTCCCAAAGTTTTCTATTATTTGCACCTGCATTTCTTATTTCATTTTTTTCATATTCATTCTTGACCTTTCTTAGAAGTTTGTTGCAATAATTTCTATATCTCGTAAACGTTAACTTAAGTACTTCATTACCCGGGTCTTTTTTCATTTTTTTTTTGTGCAAATTATCCCTATGCTTCATACAACGTAAGAGTCCTGGAGTAATCCACGGCTTTATAATCTTTTTACGACTAGGTAAAACAATCTTCTTAGTATTAGCGTCTAAAACTTTCTGTAAGGACTGGAAAGGCAATTAGATTTTGTGTAGAGTAAACTGAATCAAAATTCATTTTAGCAAAATCAGTTGTAATTCCATTATGATCTGTACGAAATATTGTCGTCATTGTGTGTTGTTTTGGGACCTTCTTTACGAGAAAAAATGCTACAGTCTCATGATCAGTTAACGCAGAATTTATAACAAGAGTTTTAGCTGGGAGTTTGGTTCTTAGCATAACATGATCTAGGCAGCTATCTTTACGGATAGGAAAAGTATGAGCTGCTAAAAAGCTGGTGTAAAGCAGTCACATTAAGGTAGTTTAACTTATGTTGGTCCTGTAGAGAGTCACTAATATTGATTTTAACATCTCCTACAAGAACAACATTATTAACATTAGCTGTTTTTACAAGTAAAGCATCTAGTGAATCTATGAATTCAGTACAATCTCTAACAGCAGGAGAACGATACAAGGCTAAAATAACATTATCTCTATTTATCTTTAAAATAAGACAATTTGCGTTGCCGAAGCAAATTTCTTCAAATGATACTTTAAGATCACTATTTATATATGCGATAACGCCATCATTTTGTGTGTAGTTGTTTTCTGTACTAAATGTCTTATAACAATTAATTACAGGAAGTGTGCGAACACTTTGCAACCAACACTCAGTTAAGATAATAATATCCCAGCGCACTTTCGTTCTCACAATTAATGTAAGAAACTCAGAGAAATTATGTGAGATACTCCTGATGTTTTGACTTATAATTTTAAGGGAAGTTCTAGGGTTTGGATCCAAGTGGAAGCAGTCCTCAACATCGCAAAGAGCAGATTCGGAAACCGAATAGGAGTCCAACTCATTTACTATATTGTCTAATTTATCTATCACTTAAATATATTTAAAAAAAAAAACATTTGTCCAAATCGATAATACACCAAGAAAAGATAAAAAAAACCGCTGATAAAAAAAACCGC